CATACAAAAAAACATTAACAAATGCAATACGCATTGTTAATTTTTTTCATACATCATTATATTTTACTGGATTATTATGAGATGAGCAAATGTCATGTTACAGACGAACTATTTCCCTTGTCACTCCAGCTGAAACGCGTTTGAATAGCTTTTATTTTTGCTTTCATTCGGTTTTAAAGACTGAGGCTGCGCTTAAAGTAAGTAGCTATATTGGCAATATTATCATCACTAAAAAAATATTACATTTTTAATAATCATATAAAAATTAGACATTAGCTACAAAGTTTTCACCCTCAAGAATTGGATCAACCAGCACTTCTCGAAGTGGATTCTCACGGCAACGATTTACATCAGAAAATACAAACAAAACACTCCCGCATGATATTATATCGATCATACTAGATTCAAGTTTTTGGAGCCAACTTTATGAACTTCAAGACTTACTGTTTCCTTTGTGTTGTGTGCTAAATAAGCTTCAGAAAGACGTTGCAAGGCTATATGAAATTGCATACTGCTTTGGGTGGCTTATCAAGGTTTTTGCAAACCATAAGGATGTACATTTTTCTAATCATATGGTAACATGTTTAGAAAATCGGTGGGCCCAGTGGGAACAACCTTTACTACTACTATCAATTATTTTGCATCCAAAATATCGACTCTCAATGTTTTTTAGTAATACTTCTAATCTCTCTTATACACATTTTGCTTTATGGTTGAATTATTACTATCGTTCATGGTTTAAAAAAACACCAACAAGTATTTTACGTGAATTTTTATTATATCAGAGGGAAGATTTTCCTTTTGATAAAAAATCATACATTCAATTCGAAGGAAGGATTGTTGATTTTTGGGATATGGTAAAAGGTATAGTACCAGAATTGGCTCAGTTGGCATTACGACTATTTGGAATATGTGTTAATTCGGCTTCAGTTGAATGATTATGGTCGACTATGGGTTTTTTACATAAAAAGTGCCGAAACCACTTGTCTGTAAGTATATAAGATTTGTTAAAAATTTATTTAAATTTTATATTATTAATTTTAAATTTAGTTTGAAAAGGTGCTGGCTATGAGTCAATTACGAAGTGACATATTAACCAAGCGAAAATGTAAAGAAATTGAAACGGCCGAACAACAGTATAAACTATCTAATATTGCAGCTCCAATTCAACCTTATGATAATGACGATCAAGAATCGACAGAACCTTTGCCTTTCGTAAGTGATAATGAAACTAATCCATCGACTCCTGATAATCCATCAGCCAGACCAAGTGAAATATCTGTTGAAGATGATGAAGAAGAGCATTGGTCACATGTAATTGAAAATTGGATAGATATGTTAAATGTTGAGAATTGTTTAGATAATGTGGAAACTATAGATAATGAAATACCTGAATTTGAATTCGACGAGCATATTACTCATCCTGCGGATAACCAAAAAGCGAAATAGAAATTATTAGAGTTATTCAATGATTCATTGGAGGCCCCTATTTCTTTTGTCTTTCAATAAATAAAAATTTAAAATT